GGTAATGCCTTGTTCCCTCTGTAGGGCGTGTAACGCTTTGCCTCCTACTTGAATCACCGTATACTTGCCATTACTTGTGGTAGTAACTCACGATCAATACAGCCATTGGTCTAACCATCGGCCGTCATATCACGTGTATCACCACTGTGCGCTATAGCGACTCCTCGCTCCATCATTTGCCGGACCCAGATGATGTCCTAACACACAGCACATGATGTTGGTTTCCTCCGGTTTTTTCTCGATGGGAACTTCCACGCCGACTCTGAGTCGATGGTGCGGATAGCTTTCATGCTTAGGCCACCCATATCTAATGTGTTACTGAGTTGTGTCGGCGCAATTGGTCCAGCCTTAAGCTCGTGTAGCGTCGCGACGGTGGGGTCGCAGCCTTCCGAGGTATGGGCTGCTGATAATGTTTCAGCAGAGTAGCTGGGGCGCGCCTGCAAGCGGCGTGACTTGCGGCGAGCGTCGATCAGGCGCACTACTCCTTCACCGATAGGCGCGAGGCCGCGCAGCGAGAGGTTGGCCCCTCGGGCGCCGCGCCCCTCGGCTCCGTCGTCGACGTCGCCGTTGGGGCGACGCTAACCTGAGTGACTATGTAGGTCCACTACTCCTGCCGGAGACGTGCGTTGATACAGTTTGTCTTTCGACCCTGTTGCACTCTGCGTGATACGGCGTTGAGTCGCCGCGCTCGCATGTCAGTTGGTTATTGAATACGTTGCAAGAGAACCACATAGACCACTAACCACACTTGGGTGATGAAGCAAGGCTTACGCTAACGCACCACATTCGCTGATGAACAGATCCGATCCAGATGTCGTCGCCTTCTCTTCGGCTTCGGCCCCGTGAGCTCTGGGTGCTGCGCGGGGCGCGGCTGCTTGATGTATTCATCCTGGTCAAACTGGACGTGGCCGTCCTCGGTCTGTGTAGCGCGCGGCGCAGCGGTGCTTCTGTGCTCGTTGGGTTTAAACGCGCCGAACCTATGCCTGCGCACCCGGCGCACCTGCCAATCGCGCCCTTGACTCCTGCCGTATGTATGTCGCCTACGCGCCTGGCTGCGCGGAGGTTTGGGCTCGTCTCAAACTCCTCGTTATAAGACTTAGGCTTGAGCCCGAAACCTCGAGCGATGGTCCCGAGGGCATCTGTGGCGCCCGCGTCGCGCTTCAGGCGCTGCGGACGCAGCCCGGCAGCGCGCGCAGCACCGGCGCCGAGCCAAGTGGGGGCGCGCAACATGCCGCGCGCCCTTTCTCCCCAGTGGCTTCAGCCAATTCGCGATATGCCAGACCCTTCAAGAAAGCCGCATCGATGTCCATGGAAGCTATGACCCATGACCCCTTGCGCGCGGCCGCGCTCGCGAACTGTCTCTGACTTGCTAAGCGAGCCGCGCCCGAGAAGGTCCCCGCGTCGAAGGCTTCGACGCCCGCGGGCCGCGAAAGGCCATGCGCAATCTGATGGCACGTTCCATCTCGCCTTTTTCGTTCTTCGCGAACTTTCACATGCGCACGTATCTTGATGTCATGATACCCGCGGCGTTTACAATTACCTGCATTATGAAAGACCTGTTATCCGGGATTTGGACATCTCCACCGCGTTCGCCTGCGCGTCGGCCGTCGCGGGGAGGTTGATTTCATTGACGACTGCAGCTCTCTTGGGCGCGGCTGACACCTGAACGCGCGTGGCGGCCATTTGCCCGTCGAGGAGTAGTCTTCGCCGTTGGTCGGCCAGGACAAGTCTAGCCATGCCAGTAGTCAAGGGGGGCTCTTGATGCTGATCATGCTCGTCCGAATCCATATCATAGGTCTCATCGCATTGCGGTGCAAAGGGCGAAGCACGTGCCTTCTGTATCGCCATGGTCACAGCCTGTCTCGTGCAAGCGTCCAGTCTCTTCGCTGGCCACAATCACAAGCGCGCGAGCATCGGTGAGCATTTCTGCGGGTACCGTGTGTATATATATATATACATATGGATAATAGTGGAGTTGATTCCATCATTTCATTCTTTTCTCTCTCTCTCTCTCTCTCTCTCTCTCTGAAATTCGCAGCGCCGCGCTGCCATGATGCGCGTTTCTAAATCCATCTCGGATTTCCCATTGATGGCCGGAAGACGTTCATCAAGTGCGGCTGGAGCAGAAGCTTGGCCGTCCTCCAGAGCGTGGCCGCCCGATGATGGCGAACCCGCCAGCGCCTCAAACTCAGATAGGTCTTCGCCGGAGCCGGTTAGAGGTCTCGAAGATCTGAGACATTGGATGATGCGTGCGCGCGCGGATCCAGTGGCGTCGTGGGTAATGAACGCTGCGCCTTCAGATCCGCAGCAGTAAAATCCCAGCGTAACGTCGTTGACGTAGTGCGCCAGGGCACGGCTACCAGCGCATGATGCTGCGGGTAGTCTGCGGATGATTTTCGCCGAGCGCGACGTCGTCGCGTCTCTATCCGAAACACGTTCTGATGAGAGACTGCAAAGCGACATGTACCTTAGGCGAGAGTCTACTCGCCGTGGCCATCCGCAGGCTTCCGTCGGTAGATAGCCCAATGCCACAGCAAGTTCCCCCGCTCGTAGGCTCGCGACGAAGGCTAGCACCGCGCGCGTGGCCGCTGCGTCGGGGCCGATCTCTCGGACGATGAGTACTTTGCTTCCACGTGCAGCGCGCGGCGCAAGTCGGGAATCTGCACAGAGACTTCGCGACCGCCGACCTGAACTACAGCCTGGCCTCGGCCCAAGCAGTTCCGTGCAATGGCGCATAGGCCGTTCCAGCCGCGCTAGTCAGCCTTCGTAGTGGTCGGGCGATGGTAGTCAACGAGATCACCAGGCTGATAGTTGTGGTGTCCTGCTTCTGTGGTTTTAGTGCGTGAGACTCGGTTCGCATGAGTAACTGCCGTGGCCTGTGTGATAGACTCAATGCACACCTCTCTGATCCTTCGCTCGCGATTGTGGTCGGATTTTGCCGCCCCTTGCTCATGGTCTAGTACCGGGAGGTCTGGGAGGCGCGCCGGCTGTCGGCCGCTTCACGCCTGATATGGCGAACAAAACAATGATAACACTTGAACGCGCTACAAACAAATAGGCTTGTACAGTAAGCGTGGGGGCACCAATGACATGTTGTGACGTTTGAGTTCTTCTTCCATAATATGCAGTATGTGTCTGAGTATGCCACTGCGTGCCTCAGTGGTGGTCGCGTGCTGGCTTCTGGCGCAGATGCGAAGATCCGTGCCTTTGGCCTTCAGGATAGCTTTGGCGGTGTCGTTGCTCAAAGCGCCTTCTCGTTCGAAATGCAACGCACTTGCTGGGCCGCGCTGCATCCAGCGCTGGAAATGGGCGTCGAAGATGGCATGTGTCGCCTTATCGGCCATCTGTTGGCCAGCTGCCCAACGAATGCATCGGTCGGTCGGTCGATGACATGGGATGTGGGAAGGCCATTGGTGGCATGATCGCGTTTCCCGGTTTCTCCCAAGTTCTGCGTTCGCGGCGTGAGCCAACTGCGCCCTTTATCATGGCTGAAGCGCACAACATCCAGCCCTACTCGAGACGCTTGGTGCCAACGCGACCGGCTTGTCGAGAGCGCGCGTAAGTCGGGGCGCGGCCTTGCCGGATGAAAATGCGCTTGGGATTGTTCTCTGCTAAATCGCCGGCGCGCGCCTGGCAGCGCGAAAGACGGCGGCGCCGCGCGCCCGAAAATGCCCGCGCGCGGGCGCGCGCCCCGCCTCTGGGGGCGGCGGCGGCGCAGGGGGCGCAGGCGTCGCCCTCGCCGGGGGCGCCGGCGGGGGCCGCGGCGTCGCTGACAAGGCCGCGCGCGCCGCGGCATGCCTGCCCGCGAAACACTCCGGCGGCTGCGTCCGCCGCGCGCAGCCGGCGCGCTTGCGACCGATATCTGGGGGCGCTCGCCTTGCGAGACCAGTCGTTATAGCGCGCAACCCCGGGCGCCGCCATGTTCCGCCGCCAGGCGCGGGCGGCGGCGGAAGCGGCGCCGGCGCGGCCGGCATCGCGCGCACATGCAAGCCGCGGTCGCAGACAACGCACCAAGGCCCGGGGCGTTGCGGAGCCGCGCGCGGGCCGCGCGCTGACCCGCGGCGCTCCCCCGCGCACGCCCGACCCGGCTGGTCTCGGCCAGGCGTTGCTCGCGAACGCCCCGGCGCGGGGGGGCGTTTGCGCCGGGCCAAACGGAACGTCGCGCAAGCGCGCGCGCGCCTGGCCCGCCGCCCCGACTGGGCGCGAGAGGCGGGAGGCCCTGCGCGCGAGCCGTTCTGGCGGCTGGAGGACTCAACCACTTCGGGGGTTGCGCGCGCCTTCCTGGGGCGGCGCCTAGCGATTCGTCACCGGGAGCGGCGGCGCCTTCGTCGTCCGCTCGTCCTTTTTAGGCCGCGCGCTCGACGAGCGCTCGCGCTTCTGGCCCTTCGGCCAGGCGCCCCCAGAGCCGCTGTTCCAGCTCTGCGCGGCGCGCCACCATCAGTCAGCGCCGCCCGCCCCGCGCCCCTGCTGGGGGGCGCGGGCCCTGCGCGCTCGCGCGCGCGGACGCGGCGGGCGGGGGGGGGCGCTGCCCGGCGGCGCGACGCTCGCCGCCGCGCGAGAGGAGCCCTCGCCCCTGTCGCAGGCGCCGCGCGCCCGCTGCAGAGCGCGCGAATCAACCCCCAGGACGGTTCCTCCCACGTTGAAATTAGGGTCGCCCGCGCGCAGCCTCTCAGCCCGCAACTGCGCCGCGCCGGCGCGAGCGCGGGACGCCGCTGCCGAAGCGCGCAGCGGGGGGTGGCGCGCCTTGCGCATCCCCTCGCCGCAAACGACGCCGAGGTGCACGACGCGCTTCGAGGCCGCGGCTCGCGCGCATCGCGCAGCGAACGCAACGCAACAAGAAATAGCGCGCGCTCGGCCTGCGCTGCAATGAGAGGCAGTTACTGCGATGCGCGACCGCAGTGGCCAGCGCGAGCTGCCCCGCGGCGACGATCGCGAGCGCGAGCCGGCCGCGCGCGGCGCGCGCGCGCGGGCGCAGGGGCCCGCGGCGGGGCCGATCGCACTGGCCCCGCGCCAGCTGCCACTGGCACGCGGTCCGGAAGGTCGTCTTCTCGTGCTCCTTCTCTACCGCCGCGGCTTCCCGCGGGGCGAGCGCCTGCGCGCGGGCGAGGCAAGGCCGGCGTCGCGCGCGGGGCACGAACGTTGACGATGTCCCGAATCTCTTTGCTGGCGCAGCTCGGCGCGTCGGCCTCCCCCTCGACGTCGCGAGGGCCCGAGCTGGCCCACTCGGGCACCCGTTTGCGGATGTCTGAATACAGGAAGACGAGCGCACCCTCCTCGCTCGACTCCTTTTCCTGCCGCTCGACGACTTCTGGAGCTGCGAGGGCGCGGCCCGAGGCGCCGAGGCCAGCGCGCGCGCGAAAACGCCTGGGCCAGAACTCTTGCGCGAAATTGGCCATCGAGGCCATGCCGGGAAGAGGGCCCACGAGGGCGCGGGCGAGCCCGAAATCACGGCGAGACCGCCCGCGCCTCGGCGGCGCCTGTCTTCAGCGCGGCTAGGACCTGGGAGGGCGGCCGCGTTCTCCGCCGCCGAGGGCGCCGGGGGGGCGACCGGAGCCGTGCCCCTGGCGCGCTCGCCGCGGGGATCCCCGCGCGCGCGAGGTGCTTCTGCGCGGCGCCCTGTTGCCCCCCAGCGAGAATGAAATCCTCGAACGCCGCGCCCTCTAGGTCGGCTGCCATCGCCACCCCTTGACTGCGGGGCGCGGTCACCGTGGCTTCGAGCCAGCGGGCGTCGTGCGCCGACGCTCCGCCCAAGGCGCGCCAGGGAGGCACCTGCTGCGCGCGCGCGGCGCCTCATCAAAACTGCAAAATACCTGCGAAGCGCACGCGGCGACCCATCCGTGGCGCGCGACGGCGCGATTGCCATCGCCTGCGCAGCGGGGCCGCGGTCGCGTCGCACTGTCGCGCGCGCGCGACCTACGCGCATCCGTGGCCGATTTGTGCCCGCCCGCAACGGTGTGCGTCTGCGTCGTCGAGCGCCCTTTACCGCTGTGGGCCCACTCAACGACAAGGACGGACATGATCTCCTCTTCATCCTCGTCGCCCTCCTAGTCGCCCTCCTCCTCTCCTCTTCCTCCTGGGGGCGACACGTGTCAAATGTAGCGGCCTTCCTCCTCCTCCTCCTCCTCCTCCTCCGCCTCCTCGTCCTCCTCCTCGTCATTATTATCATCATCCTCCTCATCATCATCCATCCTGTTTTCTCATTAGACCCTACCCCTGCCCTGCCGCACCCCGGAGCGCGTCGACTGGGCGGGCCGGGCGTGTCGCCAGAGACTTCAGCACAGCTCGTGCTCATGACGGATGGAGCGCGGGCAGGAGGAGGAGGAGGAGGAGGAGGAGGAGGGGGGCGGGGAGGGGGAGGGGGAGGAGGAGGAGGAGGAGGAGGAGGAGGAGGTTCTCGCCGGAGCGCCGCGCGCAATCGTCCAAGACAACGCTGGAACTGCACGGACGCAGGGCGGCCCCTGTTTCCAACATGCGTCTCTGGCACGAGCGCCACGCATGTTCGTCTTAACAGTTTACAGCAGTGCCAAGATGTGCCATGGGCTCTGATGCTCGACGTCGCGGAAATGGCGGTTTCGCACGACTTCGAATTGCCAGGCTGCGCAGTCGCGTTGGGCTGCGGTGTTGAAGTCCCAGAAACGGTGTCATGCCACGATTCTGGGTCGTCAGGACGTCAGGACGCAACGGTGACGTTGACTCGCGGCGCTGATGTCCCAAGATTGATGTTTGGCATTGTTGAAGATGTTCGCTCGTTGTCTTCGCAGTGAACACAAATCCTTGTTGGGGTTCACCTCCCGCAGTGAGCATCAATCCTCGTTGGGGCCTTCGAGGAGGGAACTTGGAGAGAGGATTTTTCGCATTATCATTGAGGAGGCTTGGGTTTACACTGGTCGCCCTCCTCCTCGTCCTCCGTCTCTTTCTCTACTCCCTCTCCTCCTCATCCTACGTTTCGTTCTTTTGGCAAGGGCGCACCATGATCTTACCCGCATACGACGGCGCCAATTTATAGCAACCAAACACGGATTCCCGCGCTGACCACTTGGGCTGGATACCGATGCTGCCGCTGGGCGCATAGAAGCCTCAACTTTTGACAAAACAATATGGGCCCACTCGAATGCCGAAACTTCCGTGTGAAATGCGGACGTAAATCCGTGCAAAACCGTCCCAGCCAAGAAAGATGGTTTGGAGGACCCATTCGGCAACCGAGCATAAACTACACTGCCAAATCCTCCCTGAGGTGTTCAACGTAAGCCTCCATCGACGCACGATCGTACAACGTCCGAGTATGTCTTCATTGATCCATGACCCATGTGTTTCCGTGTCCATGGCCAGGGTTGGCAAAACATCTGCTGGCGTGTTGAATTCCTGGGATCTCCAAATAAGAACAGGATCAAACTCACGTTTTGGACTCCACCCTGACATCGAAATATTGGAGAACTTCTGGACGGTCCGTCTGAATAATCCAGAAGCCGCATTAAAGTGATCATTTCCCCCCTCTGTGACAGAGGGGGTGTTTTTCGGAGGCCCTCTGTGACAGAGGGGGTGCGTTCGGAGGCCCTCTGTGACAGAGGGGGTGCGTTCGGAGGCTCTCTGCGACAGAGTTGCTCGTCATCCCGTCCCTCGTCATCCTGCTTCTTGATTTCGGATATGTCATGCTACCACTGCGCTCATCATCTTTGCGTCTGTGATCCTCGTCGTGTTTTTCCATGCGTCCTTTTCACAATTTCCACCACATTATCCTCCGTCGCCGTTCTGGCCCGCCATCTACCTCGTCACTCTCCTTCGTCTGCATGTCCTTATTCTCTTCCGCTCTTTTTTCGCCCCCCCCTCTGGTTCGATTTCCGCTCTTCGTCCACTTCGTTCATCCGTTTCCAACCCCCCTTCCTTTCAAGTTCTCCGCCGTCCAATCACATCGCGTCGTCCGTCGCCGCTATGCTCAAACCATCCCGCGCCCGTGGGGTCGCCCGCGAGCACCGGTGCAGCTGGGCCCGTCGCGGCCTAACGCGCGCCTGCGCCATCGTCTTGCAATGGGCGATGCAGGCGGATACACATGGGGTGGCGCGGGAGGATGGTGGGATAGCCGCAGCAGCGGCTGGCGTGGCTGGGAGGACGGCCATGATTGGTCAGCGAGGGGTTGGAGAGACTGGCGACAAGACGGGCACACGCCAACGGAGGACGCCAAATGGCGCGATGGCCCTGCCGCCGCAGCAGCGGCGGCGGTCTCGCCTCAACGGCCGTCTCGCTTCGCCGCGCTTAGCGTTGTGAGCCCCCGCGCCCCTGGTCTCGGCATGCCCGAATTCGATAATTTCGCGAGGGCTGCCCTCCGAAACTCACCAGAACCTGGGAACACAGTTTCAGGAGAGGGGTCGGGATCCCGAGCCGCGCCTGCGGCGCAGGAGCCCCGCGCCACCGCAGCGGCGGCGGCGCGCGGGCCCCAGGATTTTGAGAAGTTTGATGTTAATTATTTTTTGAGTTATGAAGAGAGGCTCGGCACTTCGTTTAAGCAACACAATCAAGCGTTGAAATGGTGGCGCCATCTGAATGAAGACCCAACTGCCCCGTTCGAGTCAGAAGCCAAGTGGTTTGACAATGCGGAGCCCACCATGGTCGCTGTTTGCGACCACGGTGCGAGGACGAGCTTTGGTTTCAAAAGCGACGAGGAAGTCCCTTGGCGGTGGCAAGAGATGGTGGCGACGCTCAGGGAGGAAGATATCAGGGAGGTCGTGGGGGGGGCCCGCAGCAGCGGGGCTCTGATCGGCTGTTCCCTCGAAGTCCGGCCAAACAGCTACGACCACATGCGTCAGAGTATTGTGCGCGCGCGACAGTTCGCGGGGCAGCGGGTGAAAGTGAAGCTGCCGATGTGGGATTTCGTGTTGCACCGCGACGACGGGACAGGCGTCCGTTTACACCCGCACTGGGGCGACAGGAAGGTCGAAGCTCTGCCCCTCGTCCCCCACGCGGACACGGTGAGGCCACCAGCCGCGGGTTTGGGCGGGAGCGACGGGTCAGGAACTTTTCGCTGGCACAAGGACCTCGGTGTGGAGCGCAAGGTCAAGTTCGACGCCGCCAGAGAGAAGGGGAGGCCGACGCCTTCTCAGGGGCCCCGCAGCAGCGGGGCCGCGGCGTCCAGCACCAGGCCCTCGGCGCCCGCAGCAGCGGCTGGCAAACCAGTAGTTTTGGGGCCGAATAACTCCCCAGACGATTTGGTTGCGGAGTAGATGGCTCCGCAGCAGCAGCGGGGCTCGAACGAAGGGCGCGTCGCATTTCGGCAGGGGCGCGCGTCGGCCGCCGAGATCGGGAGCGCGCGTGCAGGCGCCGTGGCGCGATCTTCGTTAAGAAGTCTTCCCTCTCCTCCCTGTCCCCCCATCCCGCCGCCCCCAACGTCGGCTCCTCGCCGCCCGTTCCTCGTCGCTCCACGCCTGTTCGTTCTCCTCCAATTTCCTCTCCCGCTTCCTCGTTCTCTCCTTCCCATTTCTCCCTCCATCCCATTGCATCCCTGGCACCCCAGCCAAGCTCGCAGTTCGAAGTTCGAAGTTCGGAGTCCGAAGGTCGCAGTTTGAATTTCGAAGCTTCGCACTTCGAGGTTCGATCTTCGAACCTTCGTCATCTCGTCGTCGTAATCGTCGTCCTCGTTCGTCGTCGTCGTTCCTCGTCGGCGTCGATTGTCGTTGTCGTCGTCGCTCGTTGTCGTCGTCGCCGTCGTCGTCGTGGTCGGCGTCGTCGTCGTCGGTCGTCGTCGTCGCTAGTCGTCGTCGCTGGTCGCCGTCGTGGTCATCGTCCTCGTCGTCGTCGTCGTGGTCGTCGTCGTCCTCGTTGTCGCCGTCGTGGTCATCGTCCTCGTCGTTGTCGTGAAACGCCCCACGTAGGAGGAGCAGAGAAGGGAGTAAGGAGAAATGAGCACGGTGGAGGGAGGAGGGAGGATTGAACAGGAAGAGGAGGGTGCAGATGGAGGTAGAAGGGATGAGGTAGTTCAGAAGTGGGAGCAGCAGACTGGCGCAATGGGAAAAGCCATGTGAGTGCAGGGAGGGATGGAAATGCGATAAAGTGAAGCCGCAGCCGTTGCAGGTCTGCCTCCCGCCGCGCCCGCCCGCCTCCGCGACGGAACCGCGCAGGAGCCTCTGCCGAAGTCTCCGCAGCAGCGGGGACTGCCAGAGGAGGCTCCTTCGCGGCCTCGCTATGGCAAGCATCGCGGGCAAGTGCGACGTCGATGACTTCGAGCTCATCGCGACGGAGGGCAGTGTTTGGAACTGGGCGACCATGGTGGTGCGGTTTTCCAGCGGCGCAATCGTTGCCGCCATGCACGCGCCGCTGGAGAGAAGGGCCAGATGCTCGTCGACCAGGCGCGGCAGATGATGGAGGAGGCGCGCCGTACCGAGGAGAAGGGCAAGATGATGCTTGAGATGTCGAA